AAGAAAAATAAAATTATGATGTTTGCAGGAGGGTGTATGGAACTGGAGATCATTGTGTTAAGCAAAATAACCCAAGTGCAGAATAACAAATGTCACTTGTTTTCTCTAATATATGGACTCTAGATTTAAATTGTATGTGTGGGACATGAAAATAGAAAGGGGACTGACTACGAGGTCTACCATCCAATGGGATTTTATTCAGCTGAAAAGAAAAATAAAATTATGATGTTTGCAGGAGGGTGTATGGAACTGGAGATCATTGTGTTAAGCAAAATAACCCAAGTGCAGAATAACAAATGTCACTTGTTTTCTCTAATATATGGACTCTAGATTTAAATTGTATGTGTGGGACATGAAAATAGAAAGGGGACTGACTACGAGGTCTAAGGAAAAGGAATAGGAACAAGAGAGGGTATTGAATGCAGAAGGGGGAACTATTGGGGAAGGGAACTGTAAGAGAGATGGGCAGTTGGCAAACAAAAACAATCATAGTAGTGATGTATGTACGTGGAACTAAAGCAGGAGGTAGAGCGTAAAAATCAAGAATATCTGGACAGCTATGTGGAAAGCAGCTGCAGAATGTAAGAGTAGGAAGCTTTTGTAGTGTCTTAAGTGTATTACTGAGGCAAAGCTGGGTAGACCTTGGAGTTTTATACATTATGTGTACATAAATATAGTGTAAAGTGAAATAGCAAAGAAATGGTACATTAGCTGAAATGAGTTATTTGGAAAAAACAAAAAGCCCAGTTTTTATTACCATGTCTCATCAAATCATAAACATCATCAATAGAAGGAAGTTTCTAAATTCAGAAATGTTAAACTGAAAGATAATGATTCTAAGAGTCAGAGAGTAATAAATGGACACCACCTCTATATATAAAGGTAATTGGCAAATGACAGTAAAGTAGAATGCTTGGGTTTTAGATGATTGTTTTTTCACATTTTAACTTCTCTGAAATCAAGATGTATCTTATACATTCAGTTTTAAAGATAGATGTATGTGGGCCGGACGTGGTGGCGCACGCCTTTAATCCCAGCACTTGGGAGGCAGAGGCAGACGGATCTCTGTGAGTTCAAGGCCAGCCTGGTCTACATAGTGAGTTCCAGGACAGCTGGGGCTACAGGGAGACCCTGTCTCAAAAAGACCCCCCCCCAAAATAGATATATGTGATGTGATATATCTGTGACAAATACATTTAATGTTGAATAACTCTTAGAAATCAGTGAGAACAATGCCTCAGGGAAAATGTACAGATCACACGAATAGGTGGTCCACAAATGGAAAAAAAAAATACATTTGAAAAAAATGTCTTAACCTCACTACTACTTTAAGAACTATGAATGAAAATTATAATGAAGTATTTTAAGTATGATGTTTGTTGTTGAGGATATACAAAATGTACTTGTGGCAGATGAGAAGCTACATTAGGACAATTGTTTTAAGAGGTTGCCAGAATCTTAAAGATTGCTAGGTTGGAGAAGTTCAGATAATAGATTCTGGTGGGGTGGTGGGGGGACAAGGGGCCAAGGAGTTGGAGTTGGAGTCGTGTTCGCCTGACAACTTGAAAATGTCGGGTACAGCTGTCTAGAGTTAAACTGGTAGGCAAGAACAGAACCTATTCATACAAGAGACTTTTATGGAAGATAGCTGATAGAAGAGGTTTCTTAAAAGAAGTAGATGCAGAACAGCTTTGGTAATGTGCTTCTGTATACAGTAAATCTCTGTCATAATGCTGTGTTCCTCCAAGCTCATGGCACGTCATCACAGTGCATCATGTTTAAGAGGCAAGCTAAGAATATGTCTTGTTTATATTTGTGTTAACTTAGAACTTGGAATACATTGTTACCTATTTTTACATGACACTTCTTCAATTTTCTAGGTGATAAAACAGGAACAAGACCAGAGTAAGTTTAGAATTTTCCTTTAAAATATTTTAATTGCACTTTGTTTACTAAATTGTAGGCAGATAGTAAATTGTAACCAGGTACACAAATTTAGAAGGCAAAAAGAATAATAAGTGTTAGCCAAAAATAATAGATGTATGTTCTGGAAATAATTATGAAATGTCATAAGTATTAGTCATTAAAACTTAAAGCCATTTCTTTTGGAAAAGGTTGACATTTCCAAAAATAATACAAATAAATATAAATTGTTTTGTTTTGGCCTTTTAGATCCTGAGTATTGAACCCAGGGCTTTACATATACTGGAAGATGAGATCTTTGTTTGTTTGTTTGTTTGTTTGTTTTAATCTGTGATCATTTTTATTACAAATTACATTTTCTCATCTAGTTTGTATTCTGTTAAATGAAGCATTTGTAAGTGATTGAGTTCACTTCACAAACATGATCTTTATTTTAACTTGTTCAGGTTGAGTAATTTTTTAATAAGTAATTCTCGAAACCAGAAATGTTCTGAATTTGGATATTTATATAGATTTACAGGCTGAACATCTCTAACCTAAAACTGAAAGCTTTAGAAGTTTGAATGAAGGCCCTGAGAGAGACTGAACTCTACCTGGGGCTATGAGGTCTTAACTCTTGATTCAATTACATCATGGCAAATTTTAGTTAACTCCTGCCCTCGTTTGTAATTATGTCAATAGGTAGATTTTCTAAATTGAGTGTATGTTGAAGAATAAATTGAAACTTTAAGTACTAAAATATCTTTAGCATCTCATTATGGAAAGTTTGTAGACTTTAATACTTTAATAGTTTTGAACTGCCAGGCAGTCTGAGTCAAAGGAACTCAATTCAACATGTCATTCACATTGTAGTACATTCAGATTTTTTTCTTTTTTTTTAGTCTTTTTGAGACAGGGTTTCCCTGTAGCCCCAGCTATCCTGGAACTCACTGTATAGACCAGGCTGGCCTTGAACTCACAGAGATCCGCCTGCCTCTGCCTCCCAAGTGCTGATTAAAGGCATGTGCCACCATGCTCGGCTCAGAGTTTTTTCATAGGTATTTAGTTAAATGCAGTTCAGTATGTTTATAATGATACCAATCTTACGTAAGAAGTCTTGGTGTCAAATAACTGTTAAAATGGTAAGTCAGGAAATTTATTGTTCTGTATGTAGAATTTTGAAAAAGTAGGGAACATTGTTATATTCTCATGTCTAAATATATATGCTAATAAAACTCATTTGTCAACTTTTTAGAATCTGAATGGTATTAATAAATTTGTGGCTCTTTTATTAGGGATAGTAAAGCACTGAAAGATGAAAATCTACCTCCTGTCATCTGTCAGGATGTTGAAAATCTCCAGTAAGTATCAAATGTAATTAGATAAATAAAACTTGAAAATTCTAGGTTACATTTCAGGGGAACATGTCTTCCTGTTAAATATTGTAGCCTGGGTTAAAATGCCAAATTTTTTGCATTAACATAATTACTCAATAATATTTTTATTGATTCTTTGAGAATTTCATATATTTTGATCATATTCAAACCCCTCCCCCATCTCCTTTTAGATTTACCCCTACCTCCATACCCCCTAGTCACTCTATATTTAAGGCCTATCAAGTCTAATTTGTGTTCCCCAAATACTTTTGATTTTGGGTCCATCCCTTGGAGCCTGGCCAACACACTCAGAGTCACACCCAGAAAACTGACTATCCCTTTACCAGCAGCTGTCAGTTGCCAATAGATACTCAGCTAGGGCTGGGACTTCATGCCCACCTCCCTCTTCCTTGCTGGGATTTTGTCTGGATTGGGCTTGCATAGGTTTTATGCATGCTGTCACAAGTGCTGTGGGTTCATATGTGCAACTGCCCTGTTGTGTCCATAAAAGGCTTTAGTTGTATTCATCTACCACCTCTGACTCTTACAGTCTTTCTGCCTCTTTTCCATGATGTTCCTTGAGCCTTGGGGAGTGATGAGTATGATACAGATGTTTTGTTTAGGGCTGAACACTCTATAATCTCTTATTTTCTGCACATTAACCAGTGTGGGTTCCTGTACTGATCACCATCTGCTGCAAAAAGAAGTTTGTTTGATGACAGTTGAGAGATGTATGAGTCTGGTATATAAGTCAGTAAGGATGTCCATAGCAGAGTAATAGTAGTATGTTCTCCCCTACGACCTGTGACCTGTTCTTGACCCTGAAAACAGTGCCAGGTATGGGCTTCATCTTATGAAGCTGGCTTTAAATCCAATCAGAGGGTAGTTGATTACTCCCATAACATTTGTGTCACTTTGTACCAGTGGGTACATCTTGCTAGGCCAGTTATTATTGTTATTTCTAGGGTTTACAACTGGATAAGATTGGTGATTACTTTTCTGGTCATGTACATAGCATCTTCCAGCATGGTGAAAGCTAGCCAGTAGAGATGAAGCTCTGGGCTGATTACCAACTTGATTTCTGCATGATCTATATGGAAGGTCACCACAGCAAGGGCAACAGCCAGTATGGTTTGAGGGTCTGGGACTCCCTGGTCAACAGCTTTAAGAGAGGAAGCCTATTTCTGGCATTGGGCTTTTTATTTCCTAGCCTGTGGTGACTGGTAGGAGCCTTGTCCCCTGTATTAGTCACTTTTCTGTTGCTGTGATAGAAACACTAACCCAAGCAATTTATATAAGGAAGGGTATATTTGAGCTTACAGTTCCAGAGGAATTACAGTCTGTCATGGTAGGGAGGCATGGTGGTTAGAGGTGGCTGGAGCAGTAGCAGCAGAAGCTAAGCTCTCACATCATCACACAGGCACAGGAAGCAAGAGCAACTGGAGATCTGGCAAGGCTTAAGAATTCTCTAAGCCCACCCCCAATGACGTGCTTCCTCCAGGATAGCCACACCTTCTAAGACCTCCCAAAACAGCGCCATCATCTGGGCACAAAAATGTTCAAATACTTGGAGCCTATGGGGGACATTTTCATTCAAACCATCACATCCTTCCATTATAGAGTAACTTCACTTTCACACACACACAGAAATCTCTGTGTGTGTGTGTGTGTATATTTATGTGTATAACTATATATATCAGTAGATTTTTTTCCATTTGACTTTTTCAAAAGGCCTTAAGTGTTATTCCCATATTCCTCCTCCTACTCTGGCCTCCCATTCCACACCCCATTTAATCCTTCCTATTCCATTATTCCTCTTTCCTTTATAGCACTATATTCTGTCTCCCCTCCCATAAAGCTCCCCATCCTCCTTTGGCACCTTACTAGTTTCCTTATCTTTATGGATTTTCCATTGACACACATATATCTAAATATTGAAAGCTAGAATCTCCTTATGAGAGAGAGTGCAATGTTGTCCTTCTTATTTGGGTTGCCTCACTCAGGATGATTGCTTCCAGCTTCATCCCTTTACCTGTAAATTTTATAATTTAGTTTTTCTTAAGAACTGTCGCGAGCCGGGACTCTGTCCAGCAGAGTCCCGGAAAGACGACACAGACACCAAGGTGAGGTTCAAGCTTCTGTTTCTCTTGCATCCTTTATTCTCTCTCTTTCATTATCTCATACACTATGATGCTGCTTCTGTTCTGTTCTATTATATCTCTCACTCTTTATTCTCTCTCACTATGATGCTGTTCGTAGGTCCTATATCTGTCTCTGTCTGTGTCTCCGTCTCTGTCCTTATGATGCTGTTCGTAGTTCCTTCTATTACACACCTCAGTTCTTTATATAGCATTTCCAACAGCCCTCCGCCCAGCCGGTACCAATCAGGGCTCACACACGTGCAGCGGCCAGGCAGAGTGTAGCCCATAGGCACGTAGCAAGATCATCAGGCTGGCAGCACCTGTTTTGGGGCTCACCATACTTCAGAGTTGGGGTAAACAAGCGGGATTCACGAGCCTTGGCAATCAGCCAAGAGTTGAAGTAAACAGCACGAGGTTTGGCAGCCAGCCAGGGCTCCATCTTTGGCTGGCTCGGCTGTGCTCGCTTCCCACAAAGAACCAAATAATAGTCCATTGTGTAAATGTACCACACTTTTCATTATCCATTCATCAGTTGGATATTGAGGTGGTTTCCATTTCTTGGCCCTTGTGAATAGATCAGCAATGAGTATGGATGAGCAGGTATTTCTGTAGTAGACTGTCAAGTTTTTTGGATATATGCCCAAGGGTAGTATGGCTGGCTTTTTAAGGCATCCCCACTCTGATTTCCATGGTGGATATATCAGTTATGCTCATACTAACAGCAAATGGGTGTTCCTCTTTCTACATATCCTCACTGGCAGTTGGCATTTGTATTTTGGATCCTAGCCATTCTGACTGGGGTAAGATGAAATCTCAAAGTAGTTTTAATTTGCATTTTTTGATGGCTAAAGATGTTGAATGTTAAAAAAAAATTTCTGTCTTTTGTGTTTCATCTTTAGAGGACTCTGTTTCCTTGCCCCAATTTCTAATTGAGTTGTTTGGGGTTTGTTGTTGTTTATTTGTTTTGTTTAGTATTTTGAGTTCTTTGTATGTACTAGATAAAGGTACATAGCTGGTTAAATATATTGTCCCATTCTGTAGGCTGTTTTTTCACTTGAAGGATGGGTATCCTTTACTGTACAGAAGCTTTTCAGTGTCATGTTGTCCCATTTGTTAATTGTTGGTCTTAGTGTCTGTGCTATCAGAGTCTTGTTTAACAAGTCCTTTCCTGTGCTTATAAGTTCCATTGTATTACCCATTTTCTCCTTTATCAGATTCAGGGTATCACGTTTTATGTTGAGGTCCTTGATCTATTTGGAGTTGAGTTTTGTATGGGGGAAGAGATGAGGGATCTAGTTTCATTCTTCTACATGTAACTATCTAGTTTGACCAGCATCATTTGTTGAAGATACTTTCCCTTCTCCATTGTATATTTTTGGCCCCTTTGTCAAAAACCATGTGGCTGTAAATGTGTGTCTTAAATCTGGGTCCTTAATTCTGTTCCGTCGTTCAGTGAGTCGTAAGTTTCTTAAATCTGTTTTTATCATGGAAAGTTTCTCTTTATTGTGTCTGGCAGTTTTACCTGGATATAATGGCCTTGGCTGGCATCTGTGGTCTTTACACACTTGTAAACCTCAGTCCATGCCCTATTGGCTTTCACAGTGTTGACTGAAAAGTCAGGTGTTACCTAATGGTCCTACCATTAGATGTTATTTGGTGTTTCTTTCTTGCAGTGTTTCCTTGTTCTGTACATGCAGTGTTTTGATTATTATGTGATAGGGAGAGTTTTTCTGGTCCTTCCATTTGATGTTTTGTATACCTCTTGCACCGACAGCAATCTTTTTCCTTAGATTTCGGAAGTTTTCTTCTATGATTTTGTTGAAAAATTTTTCTATGCTTTGGACTTGCATTTATTCTGCTGCTTCTTTGTCTGTAATTAGTAGGTTTGGTCTTGTATATTGTCCCAGAATTCCTGCATGTTCCATTCCTGGTTTGTTGTTTTTTTAACATCTTTGACTGAGTGATCCAGTTTCTCTTACTGTCTTCAAGCCTTGATATTCTCTCTTCCACTTGATTCATTCTATTGATGAGGCTTTCCATTGTTTTGTTTTGTTTTTTTTAAAATTTCACTGAGTTCTCATTTCAAGTTTTATTTCATTTTGGTTTTTCTTCAGAAATTATGTATTTAAATTTTTTTTGTGTTAGAGTATTTTGCCTGTATGTATGTATATGCATTTGTGTGTGCAATGCCTACAGAGGCCACAAGAGGGCATTGGGTCCCCTGGAGCTTGAGTTAGGATGTTTGTTAAGGTGTCTTGTGGGTGCCGGAAACTGAACTTGGATCCTCTGTAAGAGCAGTCCAGTGCACTTAACTGCTGAACCATATCTCCATGCTCAGAAATTATATTTTTTTATTAAATTATGTTTTCATATCTTGGATTGTTTTATTTCATTCAGCTGTTTGTGTTTTCATGGTTTTCATTCTGGAGTTTATGCATGTCCTCTCTGAATTCTGTTGCAGTTTGATTTCTATTGCTGTGATAAAACAAAAGCAATTTAGGGAAAAAAGGGTTTATTTTAGCTTAGCGCTTATAGTCGGTCATCAGGAAGCCAAAACAAGAGCTTCCTGAATGAAGTAGATACCATGCACTGCTGATTGTCTTGCTTCCCCTGGCTTGCTTAGCTACCTTTCTTATATAATCCATGCCTACCTCCTAGGCATGACACTACCCACAGTTGACTGGGTTCTCCTATATCAATTAGCAATCAAGAAAATGACCCACAGACATGCCCAGGGGCCAGTTTGATGGAATCAATTCCTCAATTGAGATTCCCACTCCCCAGGTGACTCCAGTTTGTGTCAAGTTGACAAAAACTAGTACAAATTCCTTGACCATATTTATGATGACTATTTTGAAAGTCTTTTGCGTCAACTAAGTTGCTGCTATCATGGGACATTGCGCTGGGTATACTAATGTCTGGAGGAGACATACTGTTTTGGTTATTCATGTTTAGGATTTTGTGATTGGACCAAGGCATCTCGTTGGTGATATTTCTTGTATGCATATCTGGTCTCATCTTTGTTGAGCAGGTGTTTGGATCTTTCTCCCTCCCATGTATATTTTTCATTAAATTTTTGTGTATTTCATCCATCTTAATCATATTTAGGCCCCCTCCCCTATCCCTACCTCCCCCAGCCCCCCTCCCCCCACAGGTTTTCGTGCATTCATATGTTAAGGTTTACCTAGTGTGTGTTTGGGTCTTTGTTTGCTGTTAACTTGTCAGGTTGTGAACCAGTTGAATGGACTTGTTTGATTTTAGAATAATTCTGTGTTAATGTGCAAATGGGGTGTCAGACAGGCTCCCAGCACAGTTAGGGATATACGAGCTTCTTAAACCAGAAGCAAAACCTTCCTTGGAATTAGAAGATTCTCTCTCTGTTGATCTTCAGAAGTCTTAGAAGCTCACATGGCTCTATTGGTGGTCCTTGGGTGGCAGGGGCTAGGGTCACAATGGGCATGAGCAGTGCTCCCTGGAGGTCAGAGAAGGATGTCACACTAACCTCAGGTGGAAGTGGGCAAAGTTGAGGCCAATGTGGAGGTTTCTACTTGGGGTCAGGATCACAGGATAGCTTTTGGTCCTCAGACAGGTGTGGTAGTGGGTGGTTGGTAGTGGTGGTCTCAGGGGTTTGGGGGAGAAAACAGGCTCTGGGAATGTCTATCTGATATGGGGAGGGGCTATTAGCGGTGCCTGACTGGGGTTGGGGTTGCCACACACATGGATACTACATGGATACTACATGGATACTGGCAGCAGTTCATAGGGAGGGGTTGCAGCCTGGTTTCAGGGCAGGGCTCTGGGGCTGCCTTCTTACCTGTGGGTCAGAGTTCTGGGTTATCTGGAAAATTGTCTTTTCAAAAACAGGAAAAAGGCCAATGAGATGGCTCAGAGGGAAAAGGCACTTGCTGCCAAGCCTGATGACCTGAATTCAATGCTTCCACACAGTGGAAGGAGAAAAAGAACTCTCTCGAATTGTTTACTGACCTCCACACACTCACTGTGGCATGTGCATAGCCACATAGACATACAGACACAGGGACACAAATAATGTAAAGATTTACCATTCTGTTAAAAAGTATAAATTAGGGGCTGAAGAGATGGCTCAGCAGTTAAGAACATTGGTTGTTCTTGCAGAAGACCTGGGTTTGAATCCCAGCACCCACATGGCAGCTAACAACTGTTTGTAACTCCAGTCCTGGGGATCTGACAGCCACTTACCTACAATGCAGGCAATACATGCATACACCTAAAATTGAAAAAAAAAAAAATTTAAAAAGTATAAATTATAGATGAATTTTTAGTTTCTTAAAATAATTAGATTATGACCAACTTATTTAAATATATTTTTCTTTTGTTTTTTCTTTTTCTTTTTAAAGGAAATTTGTGAAGGAACAAAAGCAAGTCCAAGAAGAAATTAGTAGAATGTCTTCTAAAGCAATGCTTAAAGTCCAAGAAGATATAAAAGCCCTGAAGCAGCTTCTGTCATTGGCTGCCAGTGGGTTACAGAGGAACACTCTCAATATCGACAAGTTGAAACTAGAAACCGCCCAGGTATGCCCATTTACAGCATTTTACTATGGAAGATTTTGGTGGTGGTTTTGTTTTGTTTTGTTTTTTTCCTAAAATGAAAACAGGGATTTATTTAATTATAAAGTTTGGTATGCACATACTATTAAGAAAACCAGATGTAATTTTAAATTGCTGTATTACTAGTTTTATTTGAATGTTACTATGTATTATGTATGTACATATAGCGATACTCTTAAGTAATTTATACCTGTTAGTTTAGTTTTCATGACAGCTCTTTGAGGTAGATACTGTTTCCCTTATTACCTAAATAAGGAAATATGCAGATAATTTTGTTAATAGGTTGAGGAGCCCTAATCAAGCCTTGGTAATCTATGCCCTTAACTATGAATTGTCATAAGAATACTGCTGGCTAAGTTGATCTATTATAAAGGAGGAAAACTACCTGGCAAAAAATGTTTTTGATTTTGTGTTTTAATATAGAAAATGTTTTTTAAACATGTCAATTATTAAATAAAAATTATGATAGACTTTGTCAATATTAAGTTTAATTGATGGCTTGCTAGTTTTGGTCAGTATTTCCTAATGGAAATACTAATGAGGCCAGTGTCCTCTGTCACTCCATATCTACTTGTTTTCCACCTATGACAAGGAATATGTGATAAGATGTATGTGTATATCAGAGTAAAATTCTTGACATCAGTGAAGGATGACTGTATATGATTTACTTGTATTTTATATGTTGCAGTTAGAAAATACACTAGATTTTATTATGGCAGTCTGGACATTCTTTCCCTATGTCCTCTTTGATCTGTTGATGAATTTCATGTGATAGACATTTTCACTGTGGGCTGTGTTCTTCATAAATGAAGTGACAGAATTTTAAGTAGAACTTTTGAAGGGCTTATGTAATAAGTCTTTAAATCAAGAATTATTTAAGAATACTTTGTAATCTTTTAAATACATTACTAGAATAGCTATTCTAAATTATGATGTTGAAAGAATTTGAAGACTTTCTTGTTGGTACTCAGATTTCCAAGTGTCTTATAAATTATTTTATTAAATGTGAACACAGTATTTCCCCCATGTTTCCTTCTCACTTTATCTTTAGGTACTTTTTAGGAAAAGTAAATGTTAATTATGGTTTAGACAAGAGAATATTTAGGCTTTGATTACACATGAAATCATATGAAACTGAATATCATATGTGAAATACATGAAATTATATGTTTATAAAAATCATTAACAAGGGGGCTGGAGAGATGACTTAGTGGTTAAGAGCACTGGCTGCTCTTCCAGAGGAGCCAGGTTTGATTCCCAGCACACATATGGTGGCTAACAATGGTGTGCTTACATGCAAGCAGGCAATATACTCATACACATAAAATAAAAATAATAATAAAATGATACAAAAAATAACAAAATAGTAAATGACATGTTTTAAAAAATTAACAAATAATGGAGGAGGCAAACTAAGAAATGAACACTATACTCGGATGCATTGTAATTCATAAATATATGTGAGACACTTATAGCTGGCTGTTAATATTGGTGAAAAGAGAGTGGAGGTAAATAGAAGAATAAAAGACTTAGATAGAGCCTAAAGATGGTAAAGGACAGAGACTAGGAGGCAAAGCCTCCTTAAAAGAAATTATCTGAGATTAGTTTAGAAAACTTTTTAGGCCATATCAAAGAAATTTTTTCTAAGATTACTTATTTCTAACATATAGGAACTAATATTCTACCCAGAGTCTAGGGAATTAGTTAAGAAAGTATTCTGAGTCCTTAGTGAAATGGTTATCAGTCTTTACTCCAAAATTTTTCTTCAAAGAAAGCCTTTCTAGGGAGTATAAGGAAGTCTTTGGTGAAAGGTGGCAGACAAAGCTGATGTATGCAAAACCTTATATATACCTTAATTTTTGGTAAAATAACTGAAGGGTTTAAACAAATGAGCTGATTAGTCCTTTTTTTGGTGTGGAATGGATGCCAAATGGCTTATTAATGCTGTATTGGTGAGTATAGTTGTCATAGCATTGCGTGAACTAACTATCTGCCAGGCATGTTGGGTTTTAGGTACGAAGACTGAATTCTACTAAAAAACTTGAATCAGTGAGATATAATGTGTTCCAGGTTCAAGTCGGCATTTTGACCATGACTCCAAGAGTATGAAATCTTTATGGTTAGTCTTGAACGGTGTGTAGGTTTTTGTTGGGCGGGAAAGAGAGGGGCATTAGGCAGAATTATGACATAGGCATGTGCGAGGATCTGCCAGCAGCTTTAGCATTGCTGGAGTACAGCTGGCAAGCATCATACTTACATAAGCATGCAGCCATGCATCAGTCTTGAACGGTCTAGACCTTTTAGGACATTTTAGTGAGAGTAGGTGGCTGGGTGGAAGCCCAAGTTCAAGAGTAAAAAGGGCATGCCAGGTGCCTTGATGCACATCTATAATCCTAGTACTCAGAAGACTGAGACAGGAGAATTGAGTTGAGGTTAGCCTGGATTATATAATGAGAACTTATCTCAAAAAAAGGTAAAAGTGGGCCTGGAGTGATGACTTAGAGCTGGTCTTGCAGAAGATCTGGGTTTGATTCCCAGCATCCATATGATGGTTAACAACTGTCTGTAACTCCAGTTCCAGGGGAAATCCAATGCCCTCTTCTGACCTCCTTGGGCATTACACAACACGGTGCACTTACACACGCAAGCAATACACTCATACACATAAAGATAATACAACTTTTTTAAAAAGGTAAAAGTAACTACAAAGAACAGTTGTAGACTTAAGAACTTGATAGTTTAATGAGAGAAAGAAATTCCTATAGGGGATATACATTTAAGGTACCTTTAAAAAAACTCATTTTATTAGAGATTTAGTTGAAAGACTGAAAAGATGGCTTAGTGGCTAAGAGCACTTGCTGCTATTGCAAAAGATCCAGGTTCAGTTACCAGCACCCATGTGGCTGCTCATAACTGTCTGTAATGCCAGATCCAGGGGAGCACATGTCCTCTTCTGGCCTCTGCAGGCACTGCAACTCATACAATATACTTGATACATGCAAGGTAAAACATTCATATGCTCTCCTGGTTTGTTTCTCCATTGCTGTGACAAAACACTGACCACTACCAACTTAGGGAAGAAAGGGTTTATTTGTCTTACATCTCCCAGGTCACAGTTCATCAGGGATCCCAAGGTAGGAACTCAGGGCAGGAACCTGGTGGCAGGAGCTGGAGCACAGACCATGGAGGAATGCTGCTTACCGGCTTGTTCTCCTGGCCCCTGCTCAGCCTGCTTTCTTAAGCAACACAGGCCCACCTGCCTGGGGGTGGCACCACCCAGAGTGAGCTGGGCCCTCTCACATCACTCAACAATCAAGATGCCCCATGGACATGGCCACAGTCCAGTCCAATGAAGGCAATTCCCCAATTGAGGCTCCCTCAACCCAGATGTGTCAAGTTGACACTAAAGCTATCCAGCACATACACATAAAATAAAAATATAGTAAGAAAAAAAAATGTTTTAAGTAACTGAAAACAGGTTGGAAAGGCAGTGGAATGTCGGTATAAAGTGTTAGAATAGTTCTATAGACTATTGGATAGAAGGTAAAATGGCTTGTGAGGAAGAGTAGAAGGCCTGTATAGCGTTCTCAGGCCTTCCCACAGCAGTGCATTAGGCAAGTTGTGTCTCTGTAACTCCATTTCTTCATTTGTAAAAAAAAGAAACCTGTCTGTATTATAGGTTATTGTTGAGGAGCAACTAAGATGTTGCCAGTAAAGCCTTTGCATGGTGCATAGTGTGCAGTAACTGTCCAGATGGTAGTCATTGCTAACATCCATGTCAGGATTGTCTGTCTGTTGGCCCTTCTCTAAAAATTGTGTTGTCTGCACTTGCATATTAAAGATTTTTTAATAGTACCATAATCTTTTCAGTATTGGTGAACTCATTTCATAAATTCACAGAATTTTGCTCATAGCTCTTAAAAGAGATCAATTGTTCATTATACTTTTACCATAAAATTTATTAGGTTTAGTTTGTCTTTTGAAAAAAGGTTTTAACAAGTTGTAAAACAGCTTCTTTCATAACCTGTTATTAAAGCATGTACCTCTGATTGTTTGATGTTTTAGTCCAGGGATAGGTGGTATATTTACCTAACTCTTAACTGGCTTTGTTTTGTTTTGTTTTGTTTGTGTGTGTTTTTTAAATTTCTAATGTTAGGAGTTAAAGAATGCTGAAATAGCTTTAAGAACGCAGAAAACACCACCTGGACTCCAGCATGAAAATACGGCTCCTGCTGAGTAAGTTAATGGATTTTTTTGAAACAAAATTAGGAGAGCAGAGCAGTAATCATAATATACAAACTAAAAAATTTTGACTTACTGTGTGGGAAGGCTTAACATGGATTTTAAATTTTATTCTAATTACCATAAGAGGGTAGTTTTTTATCCCTGTTTTACTGAAAGGCGAAGATCTGCACTTCCCACTGTTTTTGATACTGAGTGTCCACTGTCTGCCAGCTGTGTGCTCAGCCCTGGCCACATGCTGCTGCATCTTTCACAGAATCTGACCTCTAGTCCTAGTGACTGGAGGACCTGCCAGAGGCATGCCGGGCTGAAGACAGGGTGGATGATCTGTCGGACTCCTACTCCTACACGTTTACCTTTGCCTTTTCATTCGTTCGTTCTTTCAGAATTGTAGAAAAGTTCCAACCATAGAAGAAAAATTTCTGTGTGCCTTTCATTCAGATCCCCTACCTACTAAATATTTTTTTTACCATGTATGTTTTGTTCTTCATTCTCTGTATGTACATTTATTTATGTAGGGTCCTTGCATTTTAGTGTGTATGTCTTAAAAATAAGGATAACTGTTATGCAAACAGTTATCCTTATTTTGGGAAATCAGCAGTGCTTGTATCTTACTCAGATTAGTATGGCAAACTTCCTTGCTGATTTTATTGTGTCTTCTTCATACTGATAGCAGAATTCATTTTGCTAAAAGCTTTCACAACTGTCCATTTCCCTCCCTAGGCACTTCCCCAGGCAAGTGCTTTACCACTAAGCCACACTCTCAGTCCTTTGTTGCCCATTTCTTACAGAAAAGCGTTCAAATTCCTTTTATTATTATAGGAATTGTTAAGTACTTGATTGTAAAATTTAGTGGATAGCTGTACTTCTAACTTTTTGAACTTTGATTTACAAAGAACTTATAATAGTACAAGAAAATTTCTTGTATCCCTTACTTCACTGTCCCTGATGTTAACATATTCTAGAACTATAGTATAATTATCAACAATAGGAAACTAACATTAATAAAATATTGACTAAAACAATTTACTAGAATTTTATCACCCAAATCAACG